TCAATCATACTTCAATAAAGTGGTTTAAAAAGAAGAAATTGACAAGCTGATTCCAAAATTTGTATGACAATGTAGATCTAAGTATTTAAAGTAGTGCTGGCTGGGCGGCGCGGTGGCTCATGCCTGTAATCCCAGCACCATGGGAGGCCGAGGTGGGTGGATCACAAGGTCAGGAGATCAAGGCCATCCTGGCCAACATGGTGAAACCCTGCCTCTACTAAAAATACAAAAATTAGCTGGTCATGGTGGCACGTGCCTGTAATCCCAGCTACTTGGGAGCCTGAGGCAGGAGAATTGCTTGAACCTGGGAGGTAGAGGTTGTGATGAGCCAAGATCACACTGCTGCACTCCAGCCTGGCGATAGAGCAAGACTCTGTCTCAAAAATATATATATATAAAAAAATAAAGTAGTGCTTTCCTATAGAATTTTGTGTTGATGAAAGTATTCTGTAGCTGTACCGTTCAGTATGATAGCTAGCCAAATATGACTTAAAAAGTGGCTAGAACAACAGGAACTGTTCAGGAATTTTTAGTTTAATTTAAATGTAAAAACTCTCATGTGGCTAGTGGCTATTGTGTTGAACAGTACAGAAAGTAACCCTGAAAATGAAAGGGGTTCATACTACATTATGTTGAAACTTAGTATAAAGCTACAATAATTAAGACAGTGTGCTACTGACATGAGAAAGACAGATTAGTAGAACAGAATGAGAGCTTAGAAATCAATCTGCACTTAATGTGATTTATTGATTTTTGACAAAGATGGTAAAGCAATCCAATACCGCAAGAAATTTTTTAAACTAGTGGTGCTGAAGCAACTCGGTATCCATATGGAATAAAATGAACCTCCAACTCTATTTCATACGATACACAAAAATTAATTCAAAATGGACCATAGACCTAAATGTAAATGAAACAAGTGAAAAGCTTCCAAAAGAAAACGGGGTAGTTGCAGCAGATTTCTTTTTTTTTTTTTTTTTTTGAGACAGAGTCTCGCTTAGTCGCCCAGGCTGGAGTGCAGTGGCGCGATCTCGGCTCACTGCAAGCTCCGCCTCCCGGGTTCACGCCATTCTCCTGCCTCAGCCTCCCGAGTAGCTGGGACTACAGGCGCCCGCCGCCTCGCCCGGCTAATTTTTTGCATTTTTAGTAGAGACGGGATTTCACCATGTTAGCCAGGATGGTCTCGATCTCCTGACCTCGTGATCCGCCCGCCTCGGCCTCCCAAAGTGCTGGGATTACAGGCGTGAGCCACCGCGCCCGGCCTGCAGCAGATTTCTTAGAGGGGCAATAAAAGGTAATAACCATGAAAAAATAAGTTGATAAATTAGAATTAATTAAAATTTAATCTCATCAGGCTGGGCATGGTGGCTCACGCCTGTAATCCCAGCACTTTGGGAGGCCAAGGTGGTCAGATCGCTTGAGGTCAGGAGTTCAAGACCAGCCTGGCCAACATGGTGAAACCCCATCTCTATTAAAAATACAAAAATTTGCCAGGCGTGGTGGCAGGCGCCTGTAATCCCAGCTACTCAGGAGGCTGAGGCAGGAGAATTACTTGAACCCGGTAGGCAGAGGCTGCAGTGGACCAAGATTGCACCACTGCACTCCAGCCTGGGTGACAGAGGGAGACTCTGTCTCAAAAATAAAAAATAAAAATAAAAGAAGTAAAAATTCTTATCAAAGGCAAGACTGAGAAAATGCAAAGGCAGGCCACAGACTTCAAGAAAATCATATATCTGATGAGAGTTGATTGTTAGCATATAAAAAGATCTCCTACAACTTATTGATTTAAAAAGACAACCCAGTTTGGAAGTGGTCAAAAGATTTGAATAGATCCTTCACAAAGAAGATATACCAATGCCCAATAACACAATATTAGTCATCTGGGAAATGCAAATTAAAACCGAAATGAGATATCACTACACATCTTCCAGCGTGGCTGAAAAGATTGACAGTCCTGAATGAGGTCTATAATTGGACAGTTGGGTGGAAAAACTGAAACTGTCACACTTTGTTGGAAGTATAAAATTGTACATCCATTTTAGGAAAAGATTTGTCAGTTTCTTACACAGCTGAACTTATGACCACCATATGACCCAGCAATTCCACTCTTAGGTAGTTACCCAAAAGAGGTGAAAACATATCCACAAAACTATTTGTACAAGAATATTCATAGATTCTATCTAACTGTCATGTAAACAAACTCATATAATCAGAAAGTGGAATTACTGTGATTTACTGGCTCAATTTTCCTGGGTCTGAGTTTTCCAGGATGTGGGACTTCAGGTGCTAAAACCAGAAAACCCCTAAGCAAATCAGGAAGACTTGGTCACTGTCATTATCCTCTCAGCAATAAAAACAACTAACTCCTGATAGATACATCCAAAAACAAGGATGAACCTCAAAAACATTCTGCAGAGTGAATGAAACATACAAGAGTTCATATTCTATGATGCCACTTACATGAACTTCTAGAGCAGGTAGAACTAAATTGTAAAAAACAAAGCAGGGGAGCATTTGTGTTTTGGGTTTGGTTGATGGGGAAGGGGTGTGAGGGAACTTTCTGGAATGATGATGTTCTATATTTTGGTGGAGATTTGGGTTACACAGGTGTATACATTTGTCAAACTCAATGACTAGTAAGTTAAGGTTTCTGCATATCTGCATTCTCAAAGTATCTGTAAACACTATTGAACTGCAATGTTTTGGATACTGAGGTGTTTAGGAGTTAGGTATAACTCTTTTTCACTTATCAAGTGTGGAATTTCTTTAAAAGTAGTATGTAAGTGTCAGAGACAGGGAAAGGAAAATCATTCCTTGAGAATTTCTCCTGAGTTGAATTGTTTGTTCTGACTCTATTTTAGGAAGGTTTTCTTCAACTTTTGATAACACTTTCCATGTCACTGGATCCTTATTTTTCATTTTGTAATCCTGTATTTTGCGGGGGTGAATCTTTTGTTTTCCAAATGAGTGGGTGTCTTTCGTTGTTTTATGTTTGTAATTTGACTAGAGGTTGTTTGGTTTGTTGTATTAATTACTTCCACATTGATTCTTTGCTCTTTTCTCACAATCTTTTTTTAAAAGCTTCCATAGTATTTACAGATTTAAACAGAGTTTCTCTGTATTATAGCCTGTTTCTGACATTTGTCTTATTTCCCAAAGCAGTGCATATAAACTTTTGCAGTTATTTTTGAGGATGGTAATTCTTACAGCATTCTGTTTTCTGGTTCTTGTTTCCTTACTTTTCTTTAATAATACATTACTTCTAAAATTGGATCTGGAGTGGTTTTAGATTAACTTTTTTATTAACAATTTTTTTTTGGATTCACAAAAATAAAATAGCATATTGTAGAAAATTTTAGCCTAATTTTTAAGTTTTGCCAGTTTTATTTTCACACATACTTTTTGTGATGGTAGTGTGTTAGCTCAGAGAAGGTACTCTGTTACTATCCCAACATCTTTCAGGGTATCTTTTATGGTTTTGTTCTTTCTTTTCATATACCTCTAAAATGAGTTGTTCTGAGGAAGTCAGTTATAATAATACTTCTCAACCCCACAAGAGCCCTGCAAGACCCAGTGCAGTTCTAATGAAAACATTTTTAATGACCTGTTTCTATCCTGAAATTAATGGCTTTTTAACCTACCTACACACATAAAATTCAGTGTAATTGCCTTAATTGTAACATAACGAGGAAATAAAAGGAGAGTAATTAATAAATATTTTGATACATTACTTTTGGAGCATGATGTAATAGATGTTTGTATTTAGACACAGAAACCATGAATGGGGCAGCTATAAATGCAAACTGTTACGGTGTGTTGCATTGGTCACTTGTATACCACAAGCAATATTGCTGTCAATGTCATGATTTTCTGAAATATTTGAACAACTGATAAAATTCTGAAGAAAACAAAGTACAAATTTCCTTCAATTTACACATTCTATGTGTTTCTGGAAATTTGGGCATCTATTTAAACTATGCAAACATGTACTTCGTTTATATTCAAAACAGAATTAGGTTCTGACTCAGATCATTATAAAGAGGTGTTTCATCTTCATGAATGTCCGGGAGGACATTAGAAAGTTATCAAGGCCAGAGCACAGTTATCTTAGGTGGAGGATTCTCCTGTGACTTGCAAGTCATCTAGTGTCCCTGGACCTTGTGCACTAAGTGCCATAATTGCCCCTTCTTAATCATTGTGACAACCAAACACAAACTTCCAAAACATAATATTGGGTGTTTCTGTGCAATGGAACTCTTTGGCAAGGATGTCACGGTATTTTTTTTAATGCATAAAATAAAATACACAGGATTGCAAAGAAAATGGATTTATGGAAATACAGACCCCAGGTTAAGAATCTCTGCAAGAGATGACTACCACACCCTTCTCCAACATACACACTCCAGTTGAGAACCACTAAGTTGGAAGAGCTTTTTATGTTGAGGGAAATGCTGAAAGCCATAGTCTTAAAATTTTAAGGATTTGAAAGTACATATGGGTGCCCAGAACATTTGCCATCAACACTGTCATCAATAGGGGACTAACAACCACTCTCTAATAGAATCTAAAAGAATGAAAGCAAATAGCATAGGAACTCTATTTCTATTCTAATTTTGTATCAGAAATTAAGTGTATCAAATGGACTAATGCTTCTGTTTTCCATTCTTTTCTCATTACGACTAAACTACCTCTTTGATTAACATCAATTAAAGTTCAGATCTTTTGCCAACTTGTTTATTCATATATTAAAAGACAACCTTGGCAGAACAAAATCTTTCTCCAGCTGCTATTTGGCAAGTTGGCAAAAAACGTCCACATATTAAACACAAGCAGTTCTAGGAATAGAAATTGAAAAGCAAAATAATCAAGAGTTTATTTCAACAGGTGCTCACTTAATGCTTTCTAGGAGTACATTGCAAGAGGTGACCATATTGTATGTACATGAATAGCTTGTCATGACAAATGTGTAGAATACTAAAGATGATTTTTATTTGTTTTAGGGTATGTCTCTGTGCCAGACTGTCGTCGTGGGCTCTGTAGTCATTCTTCTGTACTCTTCCAGAGCTTGTTATAATTTGGTGGTGGTCACCATATCTCAGGATACATTAGAAAGTCCATTTAATTATGGCTGGGATAATCTTTCAGATAAGGTAAATACCTACCACATATTCCCAGTCTAACAATGTGATAATTAACTTACCCTCATCTAGGAGAATACTGTAGTGTTTGACTTACAAACACATTTATGGAATCTCTGTTTACTGTCAGTAATCATACTTAAAGCTTTGTGTTTAAAAATCTTTATATATGTGTGACATTTGAAATCGTTCTTCACAGAGAACTTCTACCAAAGGAGTATTTTCTCTCTCCTTTTTGGTAAATAATAATAGTGCCACAAGCCTCTTGGTCGTATGCTAATTTTACTTATTTTTGTTAATGATGGTGTTTAAATATTTCTAGATAAATGAATTGGCTATTATTAGCCAATTTTCCTCCTCTTTATTAGGAGGAAAGTAACTCTCCCCTACCCAAGAATTACATATACTCTTACTATTTGGTTCAGGTTTAGATGTTTAAATAATGGCTTTCATAAAAATCTGGCTTTGTCAGCCTTGATAATGGGAGAGCATTCGTAGTTCCTTGGGTGTCCAGGTATTTGCTATCATAATTCCCAGTACTCTATGCATATTTAACTTTCTAGCATTCCCATATGCTTCCTAAATGTACATTTTGACATAGCTATGTGTCATATCTTAATAGTAATTTAGCTTTGTACTGAATTTTAGGGACCTTGGAATACTGTTTTTCATTTACCTTTCTAAAGTGAAGGAATTTTCACATGTGGTTCCCTGTGGCAGATTCTCTTCACTCTTTTTTCCATTTCCCTCTCCCAACATCTGATAGAACAGAAACAAATTTAATATGTAGATTAGGTCCAAAAGCATATTTTAAGTAGAGCTGAGCTGAGTGACTTAACATGTTACATTTTTCTACAGGTGTAATTCAGGGTAAGTGCTGTTATTTTGCCTATGGAGCAGCTGGAACAGTAATGTCTTTAAAAGTCACTCTCTTCAAATTATGGGGCCTAAATATGAGATCACTCCTTATTATCCATATATTAAAATGGTCATAAACTGATACATTTTTAAAATTAACTGCTTTTTATTCTAACTTCAAAGCATTTTATGTCCTTTAAAGGATAAGTGTCATTACATGAGAAACCACAAAATAGAGAAAGTTTTAAAGTTTATGTGCCTGTAGTTAATATATTTTATCTTACCTGATTTGAAACAAGTTAACTGTGGAGGTGATTGCTTATACATTAAACAGATGTAAAAATTCTCTACCATACTCTCTTTACAGGCTCATGTAGAAGACATAAGTGGAGAAGAGTATATAGTATTTGGAATGGTCCTCTTTCTGTGGGAACACGTGCCAGCATGGTCGGTGGTACTGTTTTTCCGAGCACAGAGATTAAACCAGAATTTGGTATGATATCATAATATTCTCCAATGCTTGTTCTCTTATTTTTAAAAATTATAGAACATTTGTATTGATTTTCTATTTTTGGCAAAGGTTAAAACTAAAAATTATTGTAGTTTCTAGCCTCCTTTCTTAGTGGAAAAGTAAAACCTTCATATGCTATCTAATACTTTGTTCACAGGCACCTGCTGGCATGATAAATAGTCACAGTTACAGTTCCAGAGCTTACTTTTTCGACAATCCAAGACGATATGATAGTGATGATGACCTGCCAAGACTGGGAAGTTCAAGAGAAGGAAGGTAGATGTAACAAAGCCACTTAGCCTGAATTACTATTGAAATTGATTGAAAAAAAAAAAATCTAAGCTTTAACCAAAATATGAAAAAAGGTGATTTGGTAGTAATATGTCAATAAATAAGATCGGCAATACTGGAGTTTAAAGCAGATGTTAAACCCAGGGTGGGACCTGCATTATCAGGAACTACGATCTGACTAAAGCGTATATGCCTTTGGGCTTAAATGGTACCATTTCATTTCAGGATCACTTGCTGGTTCAGAGCTGTTTGTGGGAGGGGGATGCACAAGGAAGAAATACCATTATAGTGATTATGTATCTGTTTCCATATCTCTAGTGCTGGTCAAAATTCAGAGAAACCCTAGATAAAACTCTGGGGAAGCTGAACTGCCATAGGAAATCTTCCCATGCCCTCCTTGTTTCAAAACCATTTCAAGTCCTTAACTAGTACACTATTAGCTGTGATTTGGGCAAGGAGAAAAGCTTAATGGCTGAAGCCATCAAGCATAATGGCTTCAGCTTGATATGACATTTTCTGTAATCCTAACTTCATCAGGACAAGTTACATAATCTGTTTTTTGAGCCTGTTTTTCATCTGTAAGATAGGGATAATAGAACCTATCTCAGAGGTTTGTTGTGAGGGTTAAATGTATATGTGCGTCTGCATACATACATACATACACAGATGTCTTAGAATAGAACCTAGTACAAAAGGACTACATTGTTATCAGCTGATGATCAAGTTCTACCAATTCCTAGTGGCATTTATTCATTCTTTTGTAACATAATGCGATATAGAATCCAGGATATTAGATAAAAGTCAATAAATTTGTGGAAAGGCATTATGTTATTTGACAAAGAACATATTTCAATATATTTGATTGCTTTTATTACAAAATTCATTGAAAATGCTAAAAATTCAAATGTGACTTCTTATATCCTGATCATAGTCCTATGGCTTCTTTGCCTTTTTTTGTTGCAGTTTACCAAATTCGCAAAGTTTGGGCTGGTATGGCACCATGACTGGGTGTGGCAGCAGCAGTTACACAGTCACTCCCCACCTGAACGGACCTATGACAGATACTGCTCCTTTGCTCTTTACTTGTAGTAATTTAGATTTGAACAATCATCATAGCTTATATGTGACACCACAAAACTGACAGCATCACCAAGTCATGATTCTTGAGTTGTTTTTCATAAATGTGTATATTCGATGTGTTTAAATTCCATCTACATAAACATTCCATTATCTGTTGCAACTGAAAACAAAATCTGGAAGTGTGACTGTGTTTGGTAAAGAACACAGCTATTATTTTTGACCTTTTCATAGTAAAATGAAGTAAAATGGAAAGTTTGGAGTAGGAGAAAAGAGAGATTAGATCTTAAGGCACTTGATGGCCTCCAAAAATCCTGACTTTGGAACATCAAATGCATGTGTGCACTTTTATCTTTGTTCTGAAAGAGTCACTGCAGTCCCCAAAGTCATATGCCAATGTTCACACTGGAATACTATATTGTACACCGAACTGGAAGGCAATTTTCCTATGAAAATCAAAGCCTGTATATTCATTGGTATGCTCTATAAGGAAATCTTAATAAAAATTTTATAGTGTGAACAGTGCAGAGTTAAGGCATAAAAATGTTTCACTCTTTATAAAAATCTACTGAAAATGTGTAATCATTGAAGACAGTTCTTTTAAGCATGATTTTAAAATAGCGACTGAAATTCAATCATTTTAAACAAATGATAGTAGTAATCCATTAGTTATGGCCAGCAGTGTTCTTTGGAGGCCACAATAATTTCTAGAGGAAAATATACCAGTGAAAATGGTGTGGCTATTTTGAGTAGAATTGGTCAGTTGATTATTTTGTATAATTGAGATATATGTGGTAGTTTAAGCATGATTCTTCAAGAAAGCAATAGTGACTTTTGCATAGGGAGATTTTGGTAGAAACTTCTTGGGACTAAACAAGTTTAGAGATGCATTTAAGAATTATTCACAAAATGTATAATTCTAAATTAAAACAAATATATTTTCAAAAGCATTTGATTTCTCTGAAGCATGATATAGCAGTGAATCAGGATTGTCCTCAGGTAAATGAAATCATGATACATTATTGCAGTGAACTCAAGTGCAATACTTTGTGAGACATATAATTCCTCCCATGATTTTCACATTTGTATATCTTGTATATGGGAAAAGCCAAATTAAATTGAATTCAAATTAATTCCAGCATTAGACTAAATGAGCAAATTTAAGTAAATGTACAAACTAGGTAAGTATAAAACCACAGGTTAACAATATTGGAGTACTTTTAGAATTACATTAAAACTGTCTTAAATGTCCTATCCCAAATCTTAAAAAAAAGAAAATGGTAGGCTAAAATAATACAGAATTTTAAAATGCACTTTGTACCAGTGTCTATATGGAAAGAAGTAGATGCTGAATACCTCAAGATGCCAAGGGAACAAGCAACATTGGGAAGTTGTCACAACATGCTCAAAGACTAACTACAATTGTCTGCTATCTATTTCTTCAGAACTGAAACTAATACGAGTATCCTTTTCTGTTTTATACTTTGATTAGAATGTTATTTCCTCTCTTACTTAAAATGTATTTCAACTTTTTAACAACTGATACAATAACTTCACAAAAGTAAAACACTAGGTTGAAACCCTAACGAAAAACTGAAATTGTTAATGCTTTCCATCTTTTGGGAGGCAAGTATAGAGACAAATAAATTTCTTCTTTTTATGATACAAAATGACTTTGTATTCAATCAGAAGCATATACTTACTTACATTATTTTGGGTTTGTTTGTAAGTTCTCTCATTGTAACCAAGTTATTTAAAATTGTATAATATAAAAAGTTAACGGTGGTATTGACAAAAGCATATTTTTATTACAACTTCAGTTGTTAGATTTCTTCTCAGAATGCCAACTGTTTATTTTGCTAATAATGTTAGGTATCTAACATTAGATAGAGCTGTCTGAAAAGGTACATTGTCTTCGTTAATCCTTGGGGTTCAAGGTGATGAAGTTTTTCTAGTAAGGTTCCCCTTGATAATGTTCCTATTTAACCAAACTAAAAAAGATTACTTTTTAAAAATTTCTCAGAAAAAATAACTTGGTTCTTTCTGCTGCATTAGTTGATTGTTCCAAATTTGAGATTTGTAAGTTTATTCTTATCACTGACTAGGGTACCCAAATTCTTGCAGTTGTCTCCTTATACACATCTAACACATCACCAAAGACAAATAAAGATACACTCTGGCCCAATCTTTGCTTAAAAATTCCAAAGCACTAGGAGCACTTTAAGTTTGGTCTCGAAAGTTGTTTATAAAATCAAAGGGCTACCGATTCCCTGTTCATCCTGCACTGAAGCACATGATGACAATATCAAACCTTCATTTTTGTTCATTAAAAAGTGAATTTCATTACTTACGTGTGTAATTCTATAGTGATTAGCAGTATTTGTTTTCATCATTTCACTTGGGTGGCCATTAATTTTGAAACTTTTACCACTCATTGTAGTTGGTTGTAGTTTTATGGAAAATAATTTATAGCTAAAGTGGCTTTTTTATGCATAGCTGCCTTTTTTATTGTTTAACAGTGTTTCTCAGCTATATAATCAGTTTCAAACTGGTTGTAAAAGTATAGCTGTGGCCAATGAATGTATTTATTTGTTGTTTCACTAAATTGTAACAAAACACTACTATTGAAAATAAAAGTGTTTGTGCTTTTATTTAGAGGTCTGGTTTTCTTCATCTCTTATAATGGACTAAGTTTCTATCATATAAGGATAAAAACATAGTGCTACCACAAAAAAAAAAAAGAAAAAAATCAGGAGTTACAAATGATAGTTTGCCTTTAGTGATCGCATAATTTGTCGTATCACTTAATATACACCAGTTTGACATGAAGTGCCATGCAGTTTAAAATGCCAATACATTATTAGATAGTACATTTTTATTCAAACATTAAGCTAAGAAAAATTGTTGTATGAAATAATTTGTAACACCTCTCCCCGTCCCTTTAGAATCTTAAACAGGAATCCATTCATCTACCTTATAATCCTAGGAAGGTATTCTTTGATTATTCAAGAAATTCTTCAATGATGCTTAACACAATTTGCTCATGAAAGAAGTTCCTTTTCTTCCCAGAATAGACCCTTTTCATGACCCACCAAAAACCATACCAAATCTTGAATACAATTTCAGCTTTATTGACCCCCTGAAGTCTACAAATCCTTGGGACTCTACTGACCCTTGCTGTAAAGTGAAGGGAGTGAAAGTATTTGGAATAAAGGTAGGACCTCTAATATAATAAAGATGTCACTTTAAAATCAATTTATTCAACAAACATTTATTAAACGTTCATATGCCAAAAACTATGCTATGGAGATGCAAAAAATAAAAAGGTTCCTTTTCCTGCCCTTAAGGAGCTCACATTCTAGTGAAGAAGACTTTTGAAAAATAAAACAATACAGTACAATTTAAGTGACATACAATAGAGGTAGGTTGTAATTACAGTGGTGACACAGAAGTAGAAGTTAGATGACTCTCCTTGAGTGGAGCAAGGGAGATTTTACAGAGGAAATGCTTATGTCAGGCCTGCAAGATGCATAGGAATTTTCCAAGTTGGGGAAGGATGACCAGCGCACTTGATGCAAAGAGAACAGCATTTACCAAGGCGGGAAACCTGGCCATACAGGGCTTTTGAAGAACTGTTAAGTCTGTTTCACCAGAACATTCGGTGGAGGAAACACATTACACATCAGAAGACCTTGTACACCAACCAGAGGGGTCTGGCTTTCTCCTGAAAGTTCCTGAAGTCATGGAAGGGTATTAGGGAGTAATGCTGTCAGAGTGCTTCTAGAAAGCCTACTCTGGTAACATTGAGCAACAAATAGGAAACCAGCTAGGTATAGGAGGCAGGTTAGTACTGTAGGTATTAATAATATCAATGAAGATGAAAGAGTGATGTATCAGAGAGGTGGAGATAAAATCAGTAAAACTTAAACACTAAATGATAGGGGAAGGTGGAGAAGAGGAATGAGCCTAGAAAACATAGAATATAATGGTTCTAAAATTAACCAAAGTAAGGAACACAGGCATTAGAATAGGTTTTGCAGACAATGAATGTTTTAAGACACACACAGGTGTCTGTGGGACAACCAAGTAAAGTGCAGCAGGCAGATGGATTGAGGAGTTTGGCTAAAGATAAGGATTTAGGAATTGCTGAACTGAAATGACCCAAGCGTGAGAAGTGGTGTTATGATTAACAGGAAAAAAAAATGGAGGCCTGAGGAATAACATTAAAGGAATAAATGAAGAAGCTAAAAAGCGGGGGTTCAGGAGTGAGCAAAATGTAAAAAATCAAGGGAATAAATCTTTCAAGTACAGGTTGTCAAAAATGTCAAATAAGTAATAGCTTGTGAATTAAACTGTGGATTTAGAATTGATTTTAGACTTCACAGGAAGGGACTGTTAACTATACAGCCAAACGGCAGATTTCAGTTGCGGAGCCAGTGGAAGGTGACAAAGTAGAGGTAAGAATATTCCTTCAAAAGGATTGGCTGTTAAAAAAAAAAAAAAAAAAGGAAAGGAAGCATAAGATGAGAGAGAGGGATACACAAAAAATGGCCATTTGAACCCACACTGTATTTTATGTAGAGTGATCACTTCATAGTCTTTTGAGTCTCCAAGAGGATTGACTTATTTAGTGGGTTAATGTCTTTCTTTTCCTGCCTTAGAGAAAATGAAGTGGCAGAGGAAAATAGGTCACATTATTAAACTTAGTTCTGCGATTATTCATTTAAAATATACTGAATACATATGCATACATTCATCCAACAAATATTTATTGGATACCAAGTATGTGCTTGGCACTGTAGCAGGCCTTAGGGACACAGAAGAAAAAGTGTACAGCAGTGTCAACTGACATTTCTTAACCACTATATAAATAAACCCCACTCTACTAATAATGGGACATTTCAACATGTTATACCTGATAAGACATATGTAAAGAGGGCACATGATTTTGAGGTATATAGCTTTTTCTCTACAATTACCATGTGATATAAATTCCTAAACCCCTTCAAATAGCTTTATAAATGAAGAGCTTCCATTAATGAAAACCTCCCAAAATTACAGTTCAGTTTTAGGGAGACAAAGGAACTTCGTGTATAAAAAACAAAACTTAAACTGGGTATGGTGCAGACACCTGTATTCCCAGCTACTCGGGAGGCTGAGGTGGGAAGATCACTTCTGCCCAGGAGGTCAAGTTCCAGCCTGGGCAACACAGCAAAACCTTGTATCTCAAAAAAAATTTTAATAAAATAAATAGCCTACCCTATTACTATACACATCAAGCGTAAAACGGGCAACAAAACTCAAAAAGAACTTTAGACTGGAACTTGAAATTATTATTTATTCTAAGGCTTATAGTGGTATAGTTCCAGAATTGTGGGAGGTTTTTTTTTTTTTTTCTGAGAAAATCATTTTTAGAAATTATTCAGTATTACACACTGAAGTATTTAGGGTTAAAGGGGCATGATGCCTGTAATTGACTTTCAAATGATTGAGGAAAAATTGTGTGTGTGTGCATGTGTATGTGCATGTGAGTGTGTGTGTGCGCATGTGTGTACAAAGAAAGCATGAAAGATAAAGTACATATGAACAATTAGTGAATCTGGGTAAAAGAGCTCTTTGTACTATTTTTGAAACTTTTCTGTAAATTGGAAATTATATAAAAATAAAAAGTGTTCCCCAAATTTTATTTAGTATTAGGGAAAGTATTATGAGAATAAATATATAATCTATTCAACTTTTCACAATGTTTAGAAATCTCCTGTGCCTTTGAGTTGTTATTGTACATTTCTACACACAAAAATAACCCAATCAAAATAGCAATATCATTCTAAAAGTGATTTGTTTCATACCAATGTATTTTAGGATTGCCAGATAAAATACAAGACTCCCAGTTAAATTTGAATTTCAAACAAATAATTTTTTAGCATAAGTATTTTCCAAATATTCCATGTAACATATTAAAAAACTAATTGTTGTTTATCTGAAATTCAAATCTAACTAGACAATCTTTATTTTTATTTGCTAAATCCAGCAACCCTAAATGTATTGAAAAATTCTACATTGCTAATTACGGGTCATTCATGAGGCCTCCTTAGCATTTTCCTATTAAATGCTTGCCACATTTACCATAGTTTTATTTATATTACATCTTATTACACAAAATGCTAGTTTCAGACACTTAGAACATTCACTTTTATCATATATGAATTTGATAATCCTCCTTTTATTCAATATTAAACTTTAAAATTTGTACCACATTATTAAAGTATTACTTTTCCTCACAGTAGTATTATACATAGACTTAACACAATTTTTTAAAATGTGTTTACTTAAAACAATATAATTCTCCTTTACAAAAGCAACTTTATATAAAATGTTTGGCTTAAGACTGTCATTGCTATTATGCCTTTGAATGAAATTCCACTCTTTGGCCTCCACTGTCCAGAAACAGGCACATATCAGCTTGTTTTCTTTAATGAATACTTTGTAACAAGTTCCTGAAGTTTTCTAATTCTTTCACACTTGTAGAAATTCTGTAACCAAAAAATATTTCACTCAGAAACCATCTTAGATAAATTTTATCTGTAAAAGTTACTCACTTTGCATTTTAAAATAACATTTTTAAAGTAACTTATTTCAATAAATTTCAGGTGCATAAAACATTTAATATATTTTAATATATTTTAGTTCTTAATTTGACATGGTAAAACTAAGGTATTAATGTCCAGAAATTAGTTATTTTAAAAGTATTTAAATATGCATGCCAGATTCAGTGATTCACTCCTGTAAACCCAGTATTTTTTTAGGCCAAGATGGGAGAACTGCTTGAGGCCAGGAATTTGAGACCAGCCTGGGCAACACAGGGAGACCCGGTCTCTACAAAAAAAATTTAAAAATCAGCCAGTCATGGCTGTGTGTACCTGTAGTCGTAGCTACTTGGAAACCTGAAGTAGGACTGCTTGAGCCCAGGAGTTCAAGGTTACAGTGAGCTATGATCATTCCACTGCACTCCAGCCTGGGCAACATAGCCAGATCCTATCTCTAAAAAACCAAATTCTTTTAAATAAATAAAATAGCCAGGTGCAGTAGCTCATGCCTGTAATCCCAGTGCTTTGGAAGGCCAAGGCGAGCGGACCACTTGAGTCCAGGAGTTTGAGACCAGCAAGGGCAATATGGCAAAACCCTCTCTCTACAAAAAATAAGAAAATTAGCCCAGCATGGTGGTGTGTGCCTGTATCCCAGCTACTCAGGTGACTAAGGTGGGAGCATCTATTGAGTCTGGGAGGCGGAGGTTTCAGTGAGCTAAGATCACATCAGTCAATCAATCAAATACCTAAGTATGAGATACATAAGTATTTAAATACTTCTGTATTTTAAGCATTCATAAGTATACTCCCTTTATATTAAAGCATATAGTATTTGGTATAAAATATGTATGTATACAAATATAATATTTAGGTATAAGTATTCATAAAAGTATTCATATGCTTAATATTAAAGAATATAAGTATAAAGTATATAAACACAGAACTATAACTATTTTTAAATGCATAAGTATATGAATACTTAAAATACACCATATTTAGTAAATGTAGAAAGAATCAATGCTATTGGCCTATAAAGAGTAAGAATATTAAATGTATGACTACATTGTTTTCAGTAATTTTTGTAAAGTAAATTTTGTTCATTTTGAGTGCACTTAGTTCTGCTCTCTATCATGAAAAAAATAGTAGAATAATTAATGAAATATTAACTATCAAACCCCTGGGTGCGAGAGACACAATTTTGAAGGTCAGTTATTTCAAGCCCAAAATTATAATATTTTTTAAATGAGGAAATGTAGTCCTTTAAAAAATATTAATTTTTATAAATCTCAGCATTTCTTGCATGATAGGCCAGAAAGAATGCATCTGTAAATATTTTAATATAAGTTCCTTATTTCATGCTTTTCTTTAATCATTTTGATGGGAAATAATTGTTTTAAAAAGAATCATTAACCTTTTTATATAATGGTGAATTCACAAAGAGATTTACATGTACACCTATGTTAAACATGATTTTTCTAGCACCACAAAAATAATTGGATAGCAAAAAAAATGTGCTTTTAAACAGTTTTTAATATACAAATTCAATAAGATGAATATTAAAATTCAATCAGTAATTATAATTACGATTTTATATTTACATGTATGCACATTTTTTTCTTTCTTTTTTTTTTTTTTTTTTGAGATAGTGTCTTGCTCTTCTGTTGCCCTGGCTGGAGTGCAGTGGTATGATCTTGGCTCACTGCAACCTGTGCCTCCCAGGTTCTAGCGATTCTTCTGCCTCAGCCTCCCGAGCAGCTGGGACCACAGGCATGCTCCACCACGCCTGGCTAATTTTTTGTATTTTTAGTAGAGTTGGCCAGGCTGGTCTCGAACTCCTGGCCTGAAGTGATCCACCCACCTCGGCTTCCCAAAGTGCTAGGATTACAGGCATGAGCCACCGTGCCGCGCCCTAATTATGATTACAAAAGTCAAGAGATGAAAATAAAGACCATCATGTACCAATTGTATATGTCTACATACTTGAGGTATTTCATAATATCCCATAATTCCGTAATGAAATAATTTCTTCAAAAAAAAAAAATTCCTGGCTGGGCACAGTGGCTCACACCTGTAATCCAGCACTTTCAGAGGTGGAGCCAGGCAGATCACTGGAGGTCAGGAGTTCAAGACCAGCCTGGCCAACATGGTGAAACCCTGTTTCTACTAAAACTACACACACACACACACACACACACACACACACACACACAAATTAGTCAGGTGTGGTGTCATGCACCTGTAGTCCCAGCTACTTGGGAGGCTGAGTTGGGAGAATCACTTGAACCCAGAAGGCAGAGGTTGCAGTGAGCCGAGATCACACTACTGCACTCCAGCCTGGGCTACAGACCAAGACTCCATCTCAAAACTAAATAAATAAATAAAATAAAAAGGATATTCCTTACCCAGTTTTTTCTGAGAGCATATATGTTGCTTTAGACTTACTTGGCTACCAGAAGCAATTTCAGTACATTCAAACTAACCTTCCAAATGCGTTGAATAATGATACTATTTCTTGTCTGGTTAGATGGAATTCATAACTAGGTCCACTTTCTGGCATATTTGCTATCAATTTCTCAGAAAACAAGATCTTCAGAGCAGTGCCCAAACCCTGAGTCTATAACAGAAATAAGAAAAAAATAAAAATTAGAAAATTATTCATGCAAAGGGTAAATGAGAAATAGGAATGACTAGATTTGCTTACCTGAAGCTTTCCCCACAGACGACATTTAAAACAACCAACACAATCCATGATTCTTGAAATATTTCTAAAATGCAGTCGAAAGTCCTCCTGAAAACAATTTAACAAAATTTTATTAAGATGTACTATACAGTCAATTACTGAGTATTTTCAGAGCACGTTCTATGTGCCTAACACTGTGCAAGGTACTATGGGGTACCAAAAATGAGAAGAGCACTAATA